CCTCAGCCAGCTTTGCTGGCTGAGGAATTTTGGGAGTTGAAGTCCACAAGTCTTAAAGTTGCCAAGGTTGGACACCCCCGCTGTAGAACCTCTACTTTCTTAATCACCGACACATCAAACCAAATTCCACTGTAAAATAGAGTACAATAACAGTTGGAAGCAGTTGGAGCAGTGGTGGGATGCAATATTTTTTACTACAGGTTCTGAGGGCGTGGCTTGGTGGGCATGGTGTGGTGGGTGTGGCTTGATGGGCGTGGCAGGGGAAGGATACTGTAAAACCTCCATTCCCTCCCCACTCCTGGGGGAAGGTTACTGCAAAATCTCCATTCCCTCCCCACCCCGCTAACCTGCTTTCCAGCTCCGTTCTCCTGTGCAGGGCAACCAAAAAAGACTAAAAAAAGACGGGGGGTGCTGCAAAAAAAAAGAAGCCACACCCACACAGTCACATGGCCATGGCCACAGAACCGGTAGTAAAAAATATTTGCATCCCACCCCTGGTTTCATGCTACATGAATGGACAAGAGGAACATACGGGCCAAATTTCAAGTTTGTAGGCTTAATGGTTTTGGAGATTTTGTGATGATGCATGAGTGGTCTTTTGCTTTTATATAGAGAGATTCTTGCTGCATGCTAGAGAGTGATCAGACTATTATTTTGACATAAAAAAATACTATGAAATTGACAGTAAGAGGTATACATTTATTACTGTAAACCGAAACAGTATTTTGGAATGGATTGGTCGAAATACTGTAATAAACCTACCTTCCTCTGCCTTTCTAAGTAAGTCATCAAGCAATATTTTCCGATGTTCTTCTCCGTCCTCAAAGCTGTACAAAGCCCATTTCTTCAACAGCGTTTCTCCTTCGCCACAAATGTCTACTTCCAATAAACCCGGGAACCACTCCTCCATAAGAGAATCAATGTGATCTACAACTTGCCCCAAAATGATGCAACCTTGAGAAAGTCAGGGAGGTAAAAAAAAAAAAAAAAGAGGAGTAAAAATTGTGTTTTGCTGCACCTGTAATTAGAAATACACGATGAAGTTTTCCGCTGAGCAAAACCAACAATGTGTTCTGACCCAGCTCCCCAAACATGACAAACCCTTCTGTAGTTGAAGCAATGATTCCTTTATTAAGAGCGCCAGTCGCCCTGGCAAAAAGTTTCTCTCTCTCCTCAGGCTAACAAGTCTGTCCAGCAGGGAGGATGAATAGTTGTCTGCCACATCTATTCATCTCCGCCCCCTGCCTTTTATCCCCAGAGCTAGGGTGGGGCTAACTAGCAGTGGTGGCTCGTCCATCCAAAGGACCGGCCCATAGATTTCCACTGCTCTCCTCTCCTCTGCCTTCTGCACATCCACGCATCAGGCACTGGGCCCAGCTGTTCCTCCTCTTCCTCATCAGCCACATCCAGACCTGGGGACTGTTGACTCCCCATCTGAGGGCTGATGGACAGCCCAGGCTCCGCCTCTGTCTCCCTCTCTCTCTGCCAGCTCCATTCCCTCTTCCCCCTCAGAGCCCTCAGGTTGCCTTGATACTGACCCTGACTCCCACACCTCCTCCTCCTCCTCCTCCTCCTCCTCTGATTCAGCTGCTGGAGGGGCTGGTGGCCGACAGGCCACAACACAACATCTTAATTCCCCCCTCCCTCCAGAAGGTTAGGACGAACATTTAACCTTTTCTGCAAGAAGGGACCGTGATTTTTAAAAAGCTGTTTAGGCTGTTTTCCAGAACTGCAGATTCCACCAGGGTGTAAGCTTCTGGGGACCAGTTCATATATATGCCTTGCCTCCAGTACATCTTGTTAGGGCGAAGAGCTCGTTCTAAGAAGAAAAGGAAGGATGTTAAGTCCGTTTTTATATATATATCTATACACACACACACACACACACACACACACACACACACACACATATATCCATTGTAAATTCACATACGATCCCTTTCTCTGGCATGATTTTATGCGCGGGATAAATTTATAGTCTCAATCTATCCAAACAGGATCCTTAAAAAATATTTTTTTCATCACAGATTGGGGGAAAAATGTTTTTTGAGAAGAGGAGAGTTAGAAACATGAAGTATGCAAAAACAAGAAAAACAGCCATCTTTCCCAGCCTATACTAACAATAACTTTTTGCAATCTTAATTAATTTGAGCCCAAGAATGGAAAAATCTGGAACAAGCCTCAGGTTCAAATATCAGGTTGGGAACTTTTCTCAATATATAGTCATCATGAGATCAATACATGTAGTACCCCTGCTTCCTTAGGGTTTAAATACTACTTTTTTGACCTTCACACTAATATAAATATCTACCTTGGCCCAAATTATTTCTACTGTCATAAATTAACAGTGTTTGGAATCCTAATATTATGAAGATATGAGACAGGATGTCTGAGACCCTTCATAGTTTTAGGATTCTAAGTATAAAATGTCTTAGAACCTACATGGCATTAGGTATGTCTTAGGTAAATAACACGTGTTCCAGATCCCTAAATGAAGTCCCTTAAATATTTAAGTTTGCATTTATAAATATTCATAATCTAGCTACCTATCTCCAATTCACAGAAGTGCCTTTCTGTTGGAAGATCCTTTGCAACAAAACCAGGATAACCATTCCAAAATGTCATATAACAGCCTGATCTTTATCTCTTTGTACCCAAAAGTAGTTCCCATTGAAATTGGACAAATGCAAGCAATATTTTCTGTATCAAATTTGGTTCAGCCTACAGCGTCTCAGAGCTCCTGCTAAAAACCTAACGTGAATTAAGCAATCGTGTAAGTGACTTTAAAACCAAATACCCATCGTACGATTCAGTGGGCAAGGAATTTTGGAAGTAATGTGATGCTTGAACAATGGGAAAACATGTGGACAAAGGGTTTAAAATTTACATTAAATTAAATTATATAGAAAATTTCTATAAGATGATGTATTGCTGGTATATAACACCAGATAAGTTATCTAAGATGTACAAAGGTACGTCAAATGAATGTTGGAAGTGTAAAAGTAAGAATAATCTATGGTGGACATGTAATACAGGGGAAAAATTTGGAGTATGATTCATATTTTAATTCAGAAAATTTTGAAAATGGAGATCAAGATGAAACCAGAATGTTTCCTTTTGGGTCTAATGGAAAAAAGACCTGGAGAAAAAAATTTGGGACTTTGTTATATATGTTGACAGCAGCAAGATTATTGTATGCACAAAAGTGGAAGGATACTTTGATTCCTACTATGGATGAACGTTTGCAGAACTTGATGGAGTTGATGGAATGCTTACTTTTTCTTTTTCCTAATCCTACTTCACTTCTCTTCCCCTCTCTTCCTTCCCACTGCTTTCCTATTTACTTTCGTATTTTATATCTTATTTTATCTTATAACTCAACAAAAAGATCTTAAACCAAAAATAAAACCAAATACCGATCATGGAACTAAGTGGTAATTCAGCTAATTTCTTAAGAACACAGACTTTTTGAACAGATTTAGCTATTTTCCTTCCATTCTTGTACCTCTTCCAGAAAGCATGTATGAAGACACTTCAAGCAGTCGATTAATTAGCCTGGACCAAAATCCCATTGGAAAATATGGCATCTCATACAATCTTATAATAAGCTCAGAGTTTTCACAGTGAGGCAATTCTATCACAGGCCGTTGATCTGACAAGCTTAAAGAGAAAAGAAAGAAAGAAAATTTAAAGGGGAGCTATTTTTCACTTTTTTAAAAAAAATTTCATTCCCCAAGTTGACAATGGGGTGACAGTCAAAAGGAGCAGATTATCTTCTTTGAGTTATAATTATTGCCGGACATAAGGGACTAAAAAGTCCCTGTGATTTATTGTGCACCTTGGGATTGTTGCACAAATGGTAGCAAATGTCTAAATTTGCTTCGGTGACCCCGATACAAATCAAACAATAAAAGAAAATATTTGTAGCTCAGGGTGGAATGGAACTTGTGGCAACGTAATAACTCTAGGCTTATTCCTCTCTTGACTCCCTCTCCAGTGGAAACCTATAATTTCCAATCTATATATTTACCTATTGTGAATACCCATTTCACATATTACGATTTAAAGAAAGCAAACGGTTACCAAGAAAAAACAAGAAGCAACGGGTGGAAACTAATCAAGGAGAGAAGCAACTTAGAATTAAGGAGAAATTTCCTGACAGTGAGAACAATTAATCAGTGGAACAACTTGTCTCCAGAACTTGTGGATGCTCCAACACTCGAAGTTTTTAAAAAGATGTTGGATAATTGTTTGTCTGAAATGGTGTAGAGTTTTCTGCCTAGGCAGGGGGTTGGACTAGAAGACCTCCAAGATCCCTTCCAACTCTGTTATTCTATTCTATTCTATTCTATTCTATTCTATTCTATTCTATTCTA